TCAAGATTTGAGGAAGAGAAAATAAGTATGGCATTTTGAAAACCAGCTCAGAAGACGTAAGCATATGAAATGATGAGTGTTTGGTGAACCTCATGGTAGAGTAGTTAAGCATTTGGTCTTCTGAGTCAGTTGAAATTTTGGCTTAAAGCCCAACTGCATCATTTACCAGCTGTGTGACCTTCAGCAAGTGACTTACCTTCTCTGAGCTCTAATCTTCTTACCTCTACAGGGGGGTAAAGTTACCAGCTACCTAAAATGTTGTGAAGATTTCTGGAAATGGTGTTTATAAGGTATTAGCATATGCTTCAAACTGGCAAATGCTTCAAACTCAATAAATTAAAGCTGCCATTGTCAGTGTCATCATTGTCATGGTTACCATCATCACCACCATCGATGTCATTATCAGGAGGAAGAAAAGAAGAAGGAAACATTTTCTAGACTTTTAAAACTTCTTTCATCCACTTCTGACCTCAGAATAATTACGATAATCTATTATTGCATCGAAATATCTAAAATAGCCTCTCTCTACCATCGTGAGAGGAACCATATTAGTTCAGCGGAGTGACTGGGTTCATAGCATTTTCTCTACCTTCTCAGGCTTCTCTGTGAGGCCTGGTAGAACAATGCACACTTCTTCCTGTATTCTCACGGTGTGGAGTCTGTGTACCTCCAGTTAGTTCTTGCCTCATTACACTTTCCTACGTCAACAGCTGGGATTGACATCAGGATAGATTCGAAGTCAGGCAGCTCTACTGGCCACTAAGCAGTGCGACCTTGAGCAAATCAGTTCATTTCACTGGGGCTTTGTCTCTTCATCTGGACACTGGGGTCATATTGCCCACCTCACAGGGTTACATGAGATAGTTTTCCCAGCATGTAATAGGTTCTTGTAAACATTCGAGGACATGTTTGGCGCTCCCACGGGATTGTAAATGTGTTAAGGACTATGTTAGTCTGCTCGCACACTGCTAATAAAGACATACCTGAGACTGGGTAATTTATAAAGGAAAGAGGTTTAATTGACTCACAGTTCCTCCCTACAGTTCCTGGCTGGGGAGGCCTCAGGAAACTTACAGTCATGGCTGAAGGGGAAGCAAACACATCCTTCTTCACAGGGCGGCATCGAGGAGAAATATGAGTGAGGAGGGGAAAGCCCCTTATAAAACCATCAGATCTCATGAGAACGCACTATCATGAGAACAGCATGAAGGTAGCCACCCCCATGATTTAATTACCTCTCACCGGTCCCTCCCATGACACGTGGGGACTACGGGAACTGCAACTCAAGATGAGATTTGTGTGGGGAAAGAGCTAATCCATATCCATATCAGACAGTGTGCCTCACACATGGTCGATGCTCAAAAGTCCTTGCTAAAAGTAATATAAGGGTTCTGGGCACCTGGGATGAGATGAAGCATCAAGAGGTGGTGGGGGAGCACAGACCAGGGTCAGGATACTCAGAAGATCCTGATCACATTCTGGCCCTCACTCCTTTCTCCTTTTCTCCCTCCCAGGAGGTGATATTTCCTTGGGCCATTCTTAGGCCACCTACACTGAGTAAGGACACCCTAGTGACTTTGTTCTGGATAGATCAAAGCCCTTCTCAAACATTACCTCATCCGCCTCCTACCAGCCTGGGGTGGCAGAGAGCTGGTTGGCTCAGAATGATTGCTCCCATTCTACAGATGAAAATAACAAGGGTAAGGATTTATAAACTGATTCACGGGTTGAGTCAGTGCCTGCTGGGCACCCTGCCAGAACAGTGTTGCTTCCTAATAACTATAGTGTTTGTTTCAAGTTTATAGATTGAGTTTCTGCCACAGTGGAGCCAACACTAACCTCCTCACACTTTCTCAACATGCCTGGATTATTTTTATTTCTCCACTTTTTTTTGTGGTAGGGCTCCCAGAGATAAAAAGGGAACTCGGGGGTCTGACTATGCAGGAAATCAATACAGAGTTCATGTATAGATTTTTAGTTGGTTTGTCTTTACTGGGAAGCTGGAAAACTTTTACTCACTGGGTCACCCTGCAGCATCAGTTATGACCCCTTAACCAGGAATCTCAGTACTAGGCTATGACAGCATTCTGTACAAGTCTCCACCACTGTGCTAAATTATTTCTTTATGAGAATTGTCCTCTTGCATTGAAGCTGGACATAAAGGGAGAGTAAAATGAACATTTGGAAGTAGATTCAGGGGACCAAGAATCATTGTTTAAATCTTCAAGATTTTTTTCCCTCTAAGAATTGGGGAAATAATGTGTGTGAAAAATCACAGTGCCTGACAAATAGTACTGCCTCCTTTAACATTACTTAAATCAGAATCCCTGGAATTGGGCTCAATCCCTGGCTCACAGGAGTAAGTGCTCTGTAAACATTTGTTTGGACTGTATAGGTATTTTGAATATATGGCAAGATTATTTTTATGAACCTTTCCTGACTAGTTCAATTCTTAGTTTCTAAAGCCCACCAACAGCCAGTCCTCACTGGCCAACCTTATGCATGCCCCTGATCTTGATACCAAGCTATCAACTCATAAGAACCTGTCAAGGGTTTCCTAGCTTTGAGCGTTGTATTCCCATCTACAGCATTTCAGACACGTTGTCTCTGCCACAGCAGCTTGGAGTGCTGTCCTGCCATGCTCTGCACTGGGAAGACATCTCAGGATGTGTGGGTGGTGCTGTAGGTGCTGGCGACTGCCTTGGAACAGGGCCGTACTTACAGAGTGTTTAACAGTGAGCCATCAGACAAAGGGTGCCAGGGCCATGAGCTCCAGAATAAATACATTCCATTTTCACCTTATACTGTTGCTGATTTAATTGTGCCTTAATGTCAGCCAATTGTCAACCCAGTGTGGAAGCAGGGACATTTCTTCCACATGTCTATTGTGAGGTTAGGGGAACATGGTCACACTGTGACAGATAAGTCCTGTTCCAAGTTTTCTTTGTGTGTGTGTGTGTGTGTGTGTGTGACTTTCTCTCAGTGGATTCTGGCCACAGAGTCTTGCTGGGGGATTCCACACCCATGAGATGTGTGAATCTCAAGACATTTTTGCCAATACATTTTATCGAGTGCTCACCTTGTCCATGTGTTTCTGTTAGGGTCTCAACAGGAAGCAGATGACATATTTGAAATAGGGTAATTTGAGGAGGGTTATTTGCAATGAGACTATCTACAATGCTGTTGGAGGTAAGAACCACGAGGGAGGGAGCAGTAACTTGTGGGCCAGCAGCAGTCCTGATGTTACCACTTCCAGTTCCGGGGTACAAAGAGAAGGGCTATTACTGCACACTGGAGGGAGGACCAGGAAGCAGTGACCCTCAGCTGAGGGACCCGCTAACTGGAGGTGACATTGCCAGTAAGGATCCAGGGGTCTAATCTACTCTAACTGACTTTCTCTTTCCTCCCCATCTTCTGTGGGGTTCTCCGCTGGGCACACCCCAAAGCCAGAGAGCACAGGGAGTTGGAAGTAGTTTGTAGAGGTCAGCCTCCTGTGGCAGAGGTCAGGCAGGAGAAGTCTTTGGAGCAGATGAGGGTATCTGGAGGGGAAAATGTAAGACATCAGGCTCTATACTGCACTATCTAATGGACAGTGTGATTCCAGGTTTTGTAGGGACTGAAGCTCACACAATTTTGGGAGACATACTTTAAGAAAAATCAGAGGGGTGCTGTGGCTCACACCTGTAATTCTAGCACTTTGGGAGGCCAAGGCGGGTAGATTGCTTGAGCTCAGGAGTTCAAGATCAGCCTGGGCAACATGTGAAACCCCCTCTCTACAAAAAATACAAAAATTAGCCAGGTGTGGTGGCCTGTGCCTGTAGTCCCAGCTACTTGGTGGTGGGGTGAGGTGGGAGGATTGCTTCAGCCCAGGGGGTAGAGGCTGCAGTGAACCAAGATCATGCCACTGCACTCCAGCCTGGTTTACAAAGTGAGACTCTATCTCAAAAACAAACAAACGAAAACAAAAACGAAACAAAAAAAAAGAAAAAAGAAAAATTTAAATCGACAAAAAACCCCTAAAGCTACATACACTCATCGAGGCACCTGTGCAAGTGAATGCTTCACTGGCTTCATTGTTAATCTCCCTCTGCCTGTGACTTCGGTGATTTTGACCTAGAACAATGACCCAGTGCCCAATAAGCTTTCAGTCTCATGGATGACAGAGACTTAGCTGATTGGAATAAACACAAAGCAAACAGAGGTATACGTTGATTACAGATGAAACACTACAGAGAGTTAGGTAGACCTTGAGATAGGCGTTGAAATAGGCTTCGAAAACCAGGTTGGATTTACACACATGTCAGTGAGTGGGCAGAACAATCCTAATACTATCTGCTATTTATTGAGCACCAACTAAGTTTAAAGTACTGTCTCTAGATTATTTTATTTAATCCTAACAGAAACAGGAAACATTTTACATCCAGCTCTCTGCCAACACACTTAATAAATCAAGCTATTACGAACACTAGCATATTTATTTCGGATCCTATGGCACTGTCGAATACAGTACTGGATTTGATCAGAAGGGCGGAATCAGAGGCTGTAAACCACATTTCCTAGAAGCCCTCGGGAGCAGAAGGACCGGGGAAATCTCACTTTGCTGCTAAGAGACTCCAACTCCCAGAATGCTTTGAGAGCGCGAGACCACAGCTCCCGGCATTCCCGGGGAGGCGCCGGCCTAGCGTAGCCTCCTCCCCGACCCACCGCGTTCTCGCTCGCCACGCCCTTCCCTGTCGCCTCCGAGCCAATGGGAAGGCTCCATACTGCAGGGTGGGAAGGGGCCGGCGCTGCTGCTGGGTTGCGAGTCGGCGAAAGCGGCGGGAAGTTCGTACTGGGCAGAAGGCGACGGGTCTGCAGCCTAGGGTAGGGAGGCCGCAGGCGACACGGCTCGAGGACTCGCGCGCTAAGCGGGGGGGCACGGAGGCGGGCGGTCGGGGGCTGGGGCGGGGCCGGACCTTCCGGGCGGCCTGTGGGTCCGCTGGGGGTGCGGGAGGCGCCGTCCGTCCTGGCAGCCCCGCGGGGCCGCGCTCCGCCGTTTGGCTTCAGCCTGCGCGGGCGTCCGCTCTTTCCTGGACTCGCCCAGGCCCCGCCGGCGCCCCCGGGAACGCCTGGACTGGACAGGCCGGCCCCCATCCGAGCTCCGCGTTCCGAACGCGCGTGTTGTCGTGGCCAGGCTCCCACCGCCGCCTCGGGCCTCGCCGGGAAGCCGGGTCTGTCGGGTTGGGGTCTGAGTGAACAGCACAGTCAGGGCCCCTGCCCCGCGGAGCTCATTGTGCAGAAAGGAAACCACACTCGCAGCTGCGATGCTTTGCGGACACGGAAATGTTTTCTTAGAAAGGGGACAGGCAATTGCGGGCTAGAGGAATGGGGGCGAGGCCCTTGAGGTTAGGTGATCCTGGAGGGCATCTCAGAGGAGGTGACCTTTGACTTGAGAGACCTGAGAGGGGAGAGGGAGCCTGACCTCTGAGGATAGCAGCCAGGCCTGGGGACTGCGAGGCCGCCCTCTGTTTCCCTGTTACGTCGCGGGGAGGCCCTGTGAACTTGAACTTGAGGGTCGGTCTGGTGCAAAGCGGTAGAGCCGCTTGTGCGTTTTGCAAGGGACTTTCATATCCCTTTTGACAGTTCCTCCTCTGTCCTGTCCCTAGCTGGCAGGGCGGCGTCCTTAACTGATGCAACTGTTCAGGAGCAACGCATAGGTTTTCCTACCATCGAAATAGTATTTTGGTTCTCGTCTCAAAACTTAGGTAATTGAATTAAATTTGACAGCAGCAGAGTCAGACATAGGTTCTTCTTGAGGCCACCCATTTTTCTCACGTAGACTCTTCCCTCCCCCTATGTCCCTTTCTTGGAACAACTTGGAAATACCGGTTTTGCTTTTGGGAGGGTGTTGGTTTTGGGGAACTGTTGAAGAACCTCATTAACTGTTGCGTGTTTTTCTTTTCGTTTCCTTCCTTTCTTGTTTTCTTTTTTCTTTTCTTTTCTTTTCTTTTTCTTCCTTTCTTGTTTGCTTTTTTCTGGAATCGCCCATCTGTTGAGTCTGAAATTCAAGAGTTTAAAAAAAAAAAAAAAAATGAAGGGCAGCATTTATTTTCAAGAGTTCCCAATAAAAAAGCCACCTTTTTTTATGACATGCTAAGCATGATACATTGGGGAATAATTTAATGTAGAATTTTAAAGCATTTTCAGAAGGAAGCAAGGGTTCTTTATATAGTCATTTTATGTAGGTTACGTTTATGTTCTTCAAAATGGCATGTAGTGATTGGAATTAAATTTCTGGGTAGATAAGATTATGTTCATCAGTTACCTATAGAAGGGAATGTAACAAGTAGTCACTTAATAATAGCATTTTCTGTTGATGCTATCACAGATGGTATTCTCTGTACATCTCAGCATTGCTGATCAGATTCTGTGTTAATACAGTGACACAACTTGAATTTAATAACAATAAACTTGTGTGAGGCGTTACTGTCAATTTAGTTCTGGTACCCAGTACAGATATCAGTTTTATAGTGCAATAGCTTCTTGTTATGCTCAGTGCTGCAAAAATTATGAGAGGATATTTGTTAAACAAATGAGGTAATGGAGTAATGTGTTAAGCATAGAGCCTGGCATATAGTAAGTTAGTAAGTGCCCAGGAAATGGTTATATGGAAAGCTTATGCTAAGTTTTATTCCAGTATGCAAGTGTATATTTTAAAAATAACAGTAATGCATTCAAAATGTTGACAGACCCTAAAATTAAATTTCTTAAAGGAAATAGGCCAGCTTTTTTTTTTTAACTTTGAGAACTAATGTGAAATAATAATAAATATATAAGTGAAATGTCCCAGATGTCTAGAAATGAAAAAACAATATTTTAATTTTGACAGTTATATTTTTTCTTAAAAGCATCCCTAATAAGATATAATGTACTACGATTAGAATTATGATCTGAAAAATAAAACTTTAAAAATATTTTTGATTTGAAAAATAAAACTTATTTGGAAATGAAGCAAAGCTTTAAGATTTACCTTATATCAAATGAAGGATGTCTCCTGAATTTATGCAAATGTGCAAATGCTTATATCTCCATAGATCAGGCAGTGAGCCTAATGGGAATTAAATGCTGCCTCTTTGTGCGTGTGAGTGAGGCTTTCATGAAAATTGCTCTTGATAGGTTCTGAGAATGGATTGGTAACTGAATAGGACTGGAGAATATTTTTCAGACTGGTGGGATATTTTACATGCTTGCCAGGGTTATTTTTCAGAGTGAGAAGAAATGGACTCATTTATTCACCAGAGATCACGTGCCCCCTATTTGCAAGGAATTGTGCTAGGTGCAAAGTCTATTCTTGCTATTGTAGTATTTTGCTGAAGCAAGTTTTCTTTGTTTTAAATTAAATAGGTTTTTTTTTTTTTTAAACTTCATTTAGCATCCAGCACAGAATTCAATAAATGTGCAGGGCATATTTGAAAAATTACACTATTAATTTTAATATGTAGAAAGTGTTTAATAAACGTTCAAGATGAATTTAAAAGGGTGTTAGGACCCTAATAAAGCATTTAGGTAGGTGCTATAACCAAGATGTGTTTTTACTGTAGAATAAGTTTGGTTCTTTTGATCGAGATTCCTGTGAATATATTTCTTCGTTTATAAAGATGCAGAGGGCTGTGTCCTTTGAATTTTTTTCCCTTTGGTGCTTGACTGATACTTAAGCACCCAGCATTCCGAAGTTGCTATTTTGAAGTAATTTCACACACTTTCCCAATTACTCCTGCTCCATCTCTCCCAATGTTGTCTTAAATCTTTGCACTCAAATTCAAGCACATCCTACTACTCTTGTTCTGAGTGACATATGGGCAACACTTTAAAAAAGAAAAGCTCTCTAGATCTAGAGAGGTCTGAGCTGTGGCTCTTCTCCCATATTAGGAGTTAGATTTTTAGTATTCGTCAATAAATACTAATGAAAACCAACTGCTGTGCTTTTACTAACATTCTTCAGAAAATTTAATAAGAGTTTTATTAGCCACAATATCTTTGTCAACTTGGAAAAATAGATGTTTGTGAATCATATTTATTTAGTCTTCAGGTAAGTACATAGATTTTGATGATTCTTTGCAATTACTTCTCTCTCTATGGGTTTCTCGCCATAGGATGAGAACCAGTGCTCTAGGATTTGAAAATTAAGGTAGATACGGTTCACAATGGCAGATACTTAAGATGAATATTAAACGTGTGTACTAAAATGTTTATTGGTAAGTATTATTGATTAAATGGGAAAATATGCTAGATGAAGTCATAATTAACTTGCAAAGTAATTTGAGATTTAGGAATGTTGTGTTATACTTTTAAAGCAAATAACATACTGATAATGGAAGGACACATGTGTCTTGTGGAACTCAGTATCAGGAACAATATAGTTGGCCCTGCAGAGGACTAAACATGAGAACTGAAAGTCACTAGGAAGAAGAGTAGCCCCATTCCACTGTTTCAGGGATAGTATACTTTCCTTGTATTTCTTTTTTTTTTGAGGACCGTCTGTCTAGCTGTTTGTATGTCAGCAGATATTTTTGCTCCAGACTTAGATACTAGCTTTAAGAATCCTAAAGAGAGTGCATTATCTATTTAATTGTCATTTATATCTAAAATTAAACAAACCATGAAGTTAGACATAGCTAACCACAGCTTTATTTCAGGTTAATTGCTTTTCTTAAATTGTTTTTACCAAGTAACAGCTAAAATAAAAGTCATCATTTGATGACACTAAGTATTAATGCATTGTGATTACATTTCACAATATTAAGGGTTAGGAAGAACTGTTAGACCTTAAGTCTTTATGGACTATGTCCGGAAGACATAGGGACAGAAACTTTTGCTGTTTCTGTTACTGTAGTCTTCAGAGTTGCTTTTTTCACATCTTACTGCAGTTTACCATATAATTTGGCAACAGCTATCAACATAGAGATTATATGTAATTACAGTTTGCCCTTGAACAACTTAGGTTGGGAGTGCTGACCCTCATGGAGTTGAAAATCCATGTATAAGCTTTGACTTCTCCAAAGCTTAACTACTCATAACCTGTTGACCAGAAGTCCTACCAATAGCATAAACAATTTATTAACACATATTTGTATGTTATATGTTCTGTGTACTTTATTCTTATAATACAATAAGCTAGAGAAAAGAAAAATTTTTTTTTTTTTTGAGACGGAGTTTCGCTCTTGTTACCCAGGCTGGAGTGCAATGGCGCGATCTCGGCTCACCGCAACCTCCGCTTCCTGGGTTCAGGCAATTCTCCTGCCTCAGCCTCCTGAGTAGCTGGGATTACAGGCACGTGCCACCATGCCCAGCTAATTTTTTTTATTTTTAGTAGAGACGGGGTTTCACCATGTTGGAAAATGTTGTTAAGAAAACTGTAAGAAAGAGAAAATTTATTTATTGTTCATGAAGTGGAAATGGGCCATCTTAAATGTCTTCATCTTCATTGTCTTGGTGTTGAGTAGGCCCAGGAGTAAGAGCAAGAGGAGAGGTTGGTCTTGCTGTCTTGGGGTGGCAGAGGCAGGAGAAAATCTGTGTATAAGTGGACCTGCACAGTTTACACTCATGTTCAAGGGTCAGCTGTATACATTTCTTTCTTAGAGCTAATAAGACAAAGAAATCTATTGTTTGGGAATCAGGAAAAAAGTTTTAAAATTAATTTTTTAAAAAAGCTCAGATTATAACATTTAAGAAGTTTAATCTTGTTTTTTCAGACTTGTAGAAAATACTTTAGAAATGGTGACTCTAAAATTTGTCTTTCATATGTTGCTGGTGGGAATGTAAAATGATATAACCACTCTGGAAATTAATTTGGCAATTTCTCGAAAAGTTAAACATAACACTTGACATATCCAGCAATTATACTCTTGGGCCTTTATCCTAGAGAAATAAAAAACATGTTCACAACACAACCTATACATGAATGCTTGTAGTAGCCTTATTTATAATAGCTGAAAACCAGAAACAACTCACATGTCCTTCAGTGGGTGAATGGTTAAATAAAATGTGGTAGTCACGCAATAGAACACCATCATCAAAAAAAGAAACAAACTGCTGGTACATGCAGCAACTGGGATGGAGTTTAAGGGTATTGCATTTAGTGAAAAAAACCAGTCTCAGAGGTTGTATGATTTCATTTATATAGCATTCTCAAGATGACAAAATTATAGAAATGGAGAGCAGACCAGTTGTG